AGTTGCAGCCCGACAGCTGCCATAGTCCTGTCACGCCCTCCAAGTTTTGAATTATATTCTAATACTGTCTTTGTTTAACTCTGTGTAAAAGCGAACAGTTGTTATCCAGTGAGAGTGTGCATTTGTGTTTGTGGGAGAAAGTAAAGGCTGCATTCATCTTGCTTGGCACTGGTCATCTGGGAGCACAGTATACATTGGTATGAGAGCATCAGGCAGTGTGCTTCCACCTCTGCTACTAAGACACTATTCCACTGATGATACAAAAAATGAAGCAATTTCTGACTAAAAGCACTGAATGAAAATGAGCAGCTGTGTGCATACATTGTGATCACAGATTGGGTTGTGCCTTATTAACTCATGGATCCCAGTGGGGTTATAAACAAGGATATTTGTGGGGATGATGTCAGATCTCAGTTCTGCGGGTGTGGATCGGGCCGGTGCAACAGTCCGGGCCAGATCGAAATGAGCAAGAAAACTCATAATGAAGAGAGACTAGTCTAAGCCTGGAAGGGGGAATCCAGTTTATTTAGGTCTGGTCTGCTGCAACTTTAGATGTGTCCTTGTTCCAACATGCTGGATCAAGTAATTAGGGGACTCTTGAACCCGTAATCATCAACGACCCCTCACACCCCCACCATGGACTATTCTCCCTGCTGCAGGAAGAGGCTTTTGCAGCATTCAATGCAGGTCCAGCAGGTTCTGAAACAGCTTCTTCCCCACCGCCATCAGACAGCTGAACTGTTGGGAAAACTCTAAATCACGTCACAGACTCTGCATCACAGTGATAACACCAAACCAAAAACTGCATATTTGTACCATATGTATTTAATGCCCTTAACTCAATGCGTTTTTGCAACACATTTTCCACTGTTTACATTTGATCACTGCTGCACATTATAAATGGTAAATGGCCTGTACTTATATATTTTTACTTTGACCAAAGCGCTTTACACTACATTCAGTCATTCACCCATTCACGCACACACTCACACACTGATGGTGGCAAGCAACATGGTAGCCACAGCTGCCCTGGGGCTCACTGACAGAAGCGAGGCCCTCTGACCACCATCAGTAGACAATGCAGGTGAAGTGTCTTGCCCAAGGACACAACGACACTGAAAGCCGGAGCCGGGGCTTGAACCGTCAATCCTTCGATTTCAGGGTAAACTCCTACACCCGACGCCTCTGTTGCAATAAAGAATGGAAATGTTCTGAAAGCTGTACAAAACGACATTTCTTTGTCCAAAAGAAAGTTGTCTAAGTCTAGAGAAATTAACATACTGAGGAGGTAATTTAAAATTAAAAGTTGGACCAAGGAGGAATCTAGAAATTCCTACTGAAACTTTTAAACCTGGTCAAGGATGTTGTTATGGAAACACGCTTGTTTAGTTGTCTTCAGTGGAAAACCATACACTGTAGATTATGTATTGGACCAAGATGATATAAATATATATAGCCAATATATTTAACTTCTTAGATTTACAACCAGCACAGATCGGGGGGTTACCTCACCCTCTCCATACACACTACAGTTAGTATGACACGGAGAAAAAAAACTTATTGGATATTAAAAAGTCTGACCCAACCGGTGTTACGAATGGCTTTCGGAGTGAATCCGATCGGACGCTGCAACATCACAGTCACCGTCAACACACCAATAAAGCCGCCAACAGCTGAGTGAGAATTGAAAATGAACAGTTTTTGGCAAAATCGAAATTGGGATCTTGTTGTTATTAAGACGGTATGTAGTGAATAACAATGGGCTGCAAATTCAATAAAAGCCTTCATTAACCTCAACAGAAAAACTTTCCCAAGACTGATTTCCAAGACGCGTCTCTCTGAAGCTGTTAAGGAAATAATCATTTATATGACTGTATATTTACAGAACCTCCATATAAGTGTATAAAATCACAAAAACACCCCTCCAAAACACCTGGGGCATTAGTTTCTTGCAGCCTAACCACCACATATTGCTATGCTCCATGTGTGACCTGTCAAAGAAGGCTCCAATGCTTTCTAAGGAAATAAAAATCTTGCTATTTAAAACAACCTATGATTGGGGAAAAAAACAGGCAGCCATGTGAAGTAAACTAGAAGAGAACCACTCATCATTAATAAATTGTTTCCAGCCATGCAAGTTAAGCAATAATAAAGCCAACCTAATAACCAGCTTGTTTTACTTTAGCAGGAGACGAACGGTAAGAATTTGCAACATCACCATTTAAAGACTACTACCAAATGTCAATGCCCTTTATATTCGCTATACTCTACATATAAGATTCAAAATAAAAAAAAACGTTAATGATAATAAATGTTATTTCTTTTAGTGTCACTATTTGACTCAGCTTTTGAAAATACATGAGACCGAGGAAGAGAGCTTTATACACCAAGCTCCCTCTTAAATGGTAGGTTTATTGTTAACACTGTTAGCTGAAATGCTGATTAAGAGTTTAAGTCGGGCTTAGTCATCTTTTCCACTTTACTGACAGAAACCAAATAATCTATCCCAATGATGAGAATGTTGGACCAAGTTTGACTAGCATCTCTACTTTCAGTTTCAGGTATGTATAAGGCCTTTTATACATACCAACACAAAGTAATTAATAATTACACATCTAGTCTTTGCAGCGAAGCTATAGTATAAAAAAAAATACATTAACATTAAAACCACAGCCTCCACTTAAAATGATGTAATCTAATTTAAAAGATATTCCACTTTTTCTTTTTTTTTCCAAATAAAACTCAGGAAAATGACTTTCGTATTCAGTTCACCTTATTCAATGCTTTGTAGAACCACTGCAATGAGAGCTGCAAGGAAATCAAACTTTTCTCACATCTGGAGAATAGTTTGAGGATTTTTCTTTCTGGTAAAAATTTTAAAATCTTTCTGTGGACATAGAGCATCTCTGAATATCTATATTCAGCTGCTACGGATTGTTTGAATGGTCAATATACTGATATAAACAGATACTCTATGCTCTGTAAAGAAATATACTTTGACCTAAACTTCAAATATATTTCTGACTATATTTTTAAGATGGTTTTCCAGCAAGGAGGTGGACCTTCACACCTGTCTTTTTGCTGCTTCTAACAGCTTTTCTTACAGTATTAGGCATGAATAGCACCATTCATTTTGGGGAGTGGTGGCCTAGAGGTCAGGGTGGGGGTCGGCAACCCGCAGCTCTTTAGAGTCCCTCTTGCAGCTCCCTGGAGCTTTTTCAAAAATGTATGAAAATCAATTTTTTTTTTTGTTTCTTTGTTTTAATATGGTGTGCAGGAGGTCAAAGACAATATTGTTTTCCAATGCTGTAAACATTTGTATAATAAATGAATTTCAACAATAAATTGCGTCATAGCCATAGAGATCAGCGTGGTGCGGTGCCAGGCAAACAAAGCATCAGGTGTCTCTCGGACCATGGGACCAAAGGGGGAAAAAAAGGAAGACAATTAATGAGAAAAGAGAATTCAAAGAATGGAGCGAATCATTTGCTTTCATTATCAATGCGGAAGGATTGCCTGCATTTTTGCTTTGTAATGAGATGTTGTTAAAAAATAAACATTTGAAAAAGCATTTCCGGGGAAGGCTGCTAAATATTCTGCCGACCACCAAGTTGAGAGTGAGAGAAAACGGGCACTTGCAGAAATTCTGGATAAATTGGAGGAGAGCAAAGCTAGATTTAAGAAGTGGATTGCATCTCCAAACTCCACTACTGCTGCTAGTTTGGTTGCAATGATGGAAAACCGTCCACAGATCAAACAGGTAGCGCTCTGATGCAGGGATGGGAACTTTCTTCCATTTTTTCCCCAAATCCTAAAAATATAAATCAAACCAAGGAACGATGGTGACGGAGGATGTGGGACTTCAAGGTTAGAGAGCTCTGCTCTGATGGATGTCAGTTCCTGCTTGGTTCCTCATGACTCAATCAACTCCTCCCAACAGAAACACCACTATCCACCATAGAAAGATTGCTTTATGTGTTTCTGTAATTTCATCAATGCAACAAAACCTAATACATACAAACCACGCGATGAAGCAACAAGCAGGGAATTCCCCACAGTGAGATTGTTCACTTTTATATTTTTGTGGCTCCAGACAGATTTATTTTTTGTTTTGTTTTTTTCCAATATGGCTCTTTGAGCAGTTTGGGTTGCCGACCCCTGGGTTAGGGCATAGAGCTTGGAATCCTGAGGTTCCTGGGGCAGCACACTGCTCCCCAAGGAAAAGGGTAAAATGCAGAGGTAAATTTCTGGAATGTGAGATCAATAAAGTTCAATTATTATTATTATTATTCCAAAAGGTCAAATAACCAAAAGGTTATTCCAAAGGTTCAAATTGCTCCTTATCTGTAAAAAAAAAAAAAAAAAAAATTTAAAGTTTGAATACAGAACTGGGCTTTATTTGACTCCTTGCATGACATTACACTGACCAGGTGCAAAAATAATACTGAATTTTATTTCATCAAATTACTTGATGTATATGCATGCCACACATTTCAGATTTATATTGGAGAAATAAATGAAAATCATCTATTTTCTTCCAATAAAGCTTCAGTTTGTGTTGGAGGTATGATGTAATTCAGTTAGGACAGGTTTGGGGATGTGGAAAGGTTTTAGGTGCATTAAAGCTTTTGAATGCTGTCCCCTCTCCTCCTTTTTCTGAACAATAAAATGTGGACTACTTTGCAGCCTCCAAAATGATTCTTCAAAAATACTTTTCATGAGTTAGCAGCTATAAAAGTCATTCATAAACGTTTTGTTTATAGCAGGAAATTCAACAGGATAACTTCCACCGATATAAACAAATAGTTTTAACACTTTCCTTTCAGCTTACTCAATTAAAGTTTAAAGGTCAAATAAAGACAGAAAAACAACTTTAAAGAAAATATGTGGACAAGAATCAATACAAGTTTCACCAAAATAAAGTACAGTTCAGAGTGACTGTCATGTTATTTATTCAAACTCAACCTTAGCGCCGAGGAAGTGACAGAAACAAGCGGTACCTGTTGGAAGTGTGCGTCTTCTCTCATGCCCCCCGAGTTTCTGACGGGTTTCCTAAAACCGCATTTTTAATGTGTAGTTTCAACTTCACTCCAACAGCGACTAAATAAGTCCACATTTCGGTTAGCAAACAAAACTGTCAAAACAATGGCGGAGCCAAGTACGGCAAGCGGAAGGTCCACACGTGCTTTGCGATGACGTTGTGTTTTGGTTGTTGTTTCGTTTCGTCATGCCAGGAAGGCGTACTATCAAAATAAAAGTAGCAAATGTGGTTTGAACTTTTCTGGAACGAAACCTGTTACCATTCTACAGAAGAGGATTTGGGCCACTGGAAAAATAATATAAAGTTAACTGATTTTTAAATTTTATTTCAGTTTGATACAGGAAGAAAGACAGGATTTTGACTTTTTTCACTGAATTCTGACTTTTTTTCTCAGAATTCTGACTTTTTCCCCCTCCGAATTCTGACTTTTTTCACTGAATTCTGACTTTATTCTCATAATTCAGACTTGTTTTCTCATAATTCTGACTTATTTCTCATAATTCTGACTTTAATCTCAGAATTCTGACTTTTTTCTCAGAATTCTAACTTTTTTCCCATATTAAACTGAAATAAAATTTAAAAATCAATTAACTTTTTTACTTTTTTCCCAAGTGGCCCTAATCCTCCTCCATACCATTCAGTTCTGTTTATTTAAATTATTATGGACTTTCAGTACAATCAAAAGTGCAATAGACAATATCAAAAATTTCAAGCATGAAATTAGTACATTTGAAGCACATTTCACCTCTAACAAAAAGCACGTAAATAATTATTTAAATACAAATGTATTATGCTACAATACAAAAAAATAAATCTAAAAACACATATCTTACAAGTCATAACATTCATATTATTAAATGTAAAAAAAAAATATATATATATATATATGTTTTTTTTCCTAAATAGATAATGGGGAAACAATTTAGCACGATTTGTATACATTATGTAACATAAGAAAATTTAATTCTTAAAACATTGATTTTTATATCTATTTTAGTCAGTTGTAATTTTTGTTTTGGAATGCACAGATACAGCCCTATATAAACACATTTATGGTGAAAATGAATGTAATGTATGGAAAGAACTAAACAATGTAAGGAGATGGATACATAATTGTTTTTAAGAAACACTTATATCTGTCAAAAGTAAACTATCTTAATAGTTTCTAATTCTATGAAAATTTCTTTAATGATCTAGGAGACAATTTTAGGATTTCTTGAATGTTCTAGGCAGGTTTGCCTTGCTAAACCCTTCTCCATCTTTTATGTACATATAAAAAGAAGTGGTTTCTGCAACAGGGCTCCCTTAGGAATAACATTCCAGCAAGTTTGTTTAATAAGTAATACAAAATGTTTCCTCTGTATCGTAACCTGCTCAGATGTGGTCTTAGTCCAATGGCTGTAGAATTTTCTGTGTTTAGTTTATTTTTACTTTAGTTTTGTTTTTGTTGTCTGTGCAAATGATTGGGCTTTAAAAGGCTTTAAAAAAATCTTAACTTTGTATTCGTTATAGCAGTATTGGAAAAAACAGGTTTGAAATAAACACTTGTTCTGATAAAAATCCTATATATAAAGATACAAATCAATAAATAATAGTTGTTTACCTTGTAATAATTTTAGTCTTTGATAGAGTTATAGTTAATATACAGTAATATACTGTAATTGCATCTATACTTACAGACTGTAATTATTGATTTTGTATATTTTATATACATTTCTATGCCTCTTCAAAGTGGATAATGAGGCTTTAAATTGCTAAATCCAGGCCAGGTCACTTAAACAAAACTACAAAGCAATTCTATATTAATAAAGTGTAATGATTTACAATACGGAGTAATAATTAAAGCAAGATAATAACAGAACAACAGCACTTTTTGATCAATTTAGTCTGTCATACCTATTGCTTGAATAGACTTGACCTGGAATACCTCCCCCTAACACACACACACACACACACACACACACACACACACACGCACACACACTATATATTAATGAAGTTGTGAAAAGTGTCCAAGCATAACGAGTCATTTTCAGATAAATATAGAAAACAATGCCATTCTGCCATTTTTCAAAGCAAGGAGCAGTAGCTGATTTTCAGTCCCAGGTCTACTACAATCAGAAGGAGCATGAAAGTCCACTAGAGCCGGATGTGAAGCAAAACAGAAAATTACAGCAAGCAGTGACATAAATTACTGTCAAACTTATAATCCGTGTAATTTATGTAGTTCTTCAGTTTTAGGGCCGAAGCACAAAAGGGAACTCGCAGAACTGCTGTGTGCTTTACGTCTGGCAAAAGTCTGTAAAATAGAACAGATTAATTTACAAAGTCTGGTTTTAGAAAAATCTAGCTGATAGACAACAACATGATTTTAGAGGTAAGAAGTCTTATGCTGTGTTCCCTAAAACAAAATTATGAAGGTGCAAGTATGTGAAGACATGGGACGAGTCAAAAATTTAACCAGAGTTGAATGAAGAAAACAAAATATAGAGCTTTTTAATGACACTATTTGAATGAATAAAGACATTATGAATCCTTCATGGTTAAAGTAATGTGATGTGGAAAGATTGGAGCATATGGGGAAAAAAAGGACCTGAATATCCTGTTTCAGAACATTGAAGGAATTAAATTTGGCAAATCATCTTTCAGACTTCAGGAAGGTGAAGTCAGAGTGCAACAGCTCTAGTGGAATACAAAATGTTCAGCAACTGATGACTGTTGGAAAAAGGGGACCTTTTTCATCAGGATGAATGGATGCAGCTACTTGTTTCATACAGCTCGACATTACAGTCGCAATTCTTTTGGTCACTGTTTAGCAGGCCTTAAGAGTGATATGATGCTACACTGTAGAAACCCTGCTTTTTTCAGGTGAAGACAAAATGGGCATTTTATATTATCAGGAATTATTCACAGTTTGCAAGAAGAAATGGGGCAATAACATCTAAATGCCTTTTATTTTCCAAACCTGTCTGGGCCATAAGTTATACCACAAGAATGGGGCCTTTTTATAGGTACGGTAACAGAAATATGAATTTTTCTATAAAAAGATTATCATAAAGTGTGTCCCATTATTAATATCCCACCATTTAGTTGTGTTTAGTTTAGTTTTAACCCTTTAGAAACTTTGTTTTTATCCCTTGCCTCCTCTCTGCGCTACAAAATGATATGTAACATGTTTTGTCAGCTTACTGTACACAAATCTATCTTGCTTGATATGTTTGTATTTGAGTGTGCTTTCTGGTAATCACTGTTTTCTCTGTAGCTCATTTCTGCTTCTGTAGTGTGAATAGACATAAATACCAACCACACCTCCCTGCAGCATATGTGCTTGACTTGAAAGGGAAAATCTAGTGAAGCGCAAATACTGATCTAAGAGTCCTATTAATGCTTAATGATCTAATAATATTCCCAAGAGAGTGGCAGTCCCAGTTAGCATGTCACTCTCAGCTGGAGAAATATGTTGGTTCCCATTATTTTTGCCTCACTAGACCCCTACTGCTCAGCTTCATCTGCATTAAGGTTTTTAATCTTGATTAGTTTATTTATTGTGGCACAGTTACAATTTTGATCAGATGATGTGGGCATTATAGTTTTGAATATCACCACAATAGGGGATTTTATTGATACTTTAGAATTATTTATTACAGGGCAGGTTATCAAAGCATTTTGAGTTTTCTCATAACTATATATAGCAAAAGGTTCCTTAAAGAAGACTTTTTGCTAAATTAAACCAGGTGAAACAAAAACCTTTCCACTTGAGGAGTTCTGGATAGAGCATTTTGACAGAAGAAAACATTTTTTTTAATCTTAAATGCAAAATGTTTAAATTTCGTTTTACAATTTTGCTATAATTACTGCTCAAGTTGGCTTGCTCTGTCAGTTAAAGGCATGTTTTAAAGCCAGGTATCACTAATCCTCTGAGTAATTGGAGGGGCTACCATCACTAAACTGTGAGCTGGAGATGTCAGTTTTAATCTAAACTTCATGCGTAATAAACATATTTTTATTCCTTCATTTAATTTCTACTTTTCTTTTAGATATTGCCATTTTGAAATCTCTCTAAATGCTTTAATGCTTAATATGAGTAATATGATGAAATGCTCTGTGAATGAATAAAAAAGAAAAGCAAGAGAATAAAAAAAATGTCAAACTCAGCCCACTGGTGATTTGATTTGTTTTCAGAAGAAGCTGAGGGCACCCCATATGCTACTGTGGGGTTGCTTGGTACCCGCAGGCACCGCGTCGGTTAGAGCTTCTATACTGTAGTTGACGATTATTCGATTACTAAAATAGTGTGGAAGATTATTTCAATGATCGATTTATGAGGATTGTTAGTGTCTATTTTTTTCATGGTCTTAAAGTTGCACCTTGGCCAAGTGCTGTTTATGAGATACTGACGAGATTTTGCAATACCTCCAGCTTGATAGTTGACCACTCTTATTGGCAGAGACGGTACCGTTTCTTTCAACTAAGCAGAGTCTATAAATTTTTACCAGAACTGAGGTGGAAAAGTCTTTATAGAAGTTTAAAATTAGATTGCCTAATCCATTCAAAAGCCAAATTAGATGTGTTTTGACCTTTGTTCCAGTCCTAATGATAATGTGTGGATTACTGGTATGCTTAGAGACCATCAAACCATAAGCCTTAATGAGCTCTCTTCCAGTTCCTTTAAAAGATGGGTCAAATATTCATCCAGAATTTCCCAGAACCTCACTGATGGCTAAAGAGAACATGTTGTTTTCCTGCAGCGTACTAAGTGATGTTTACTTTATTATTGGTATAAAAAATTATTATATATGCACTGGAAAAAATCAAAATCTAGATAAGTCATTTTGTCTTAAAATAAGTGCATTTGTTCTTGAATTGAGGGGGTAAAAGAGACATTTTGCCAATGAAACAAGACAATTTACATTTAAAATAAGAAAACGCAATAACGTTTTCTTATTTCAAGTGTATTTTATCATAATATCTTATTTTAAGAGCAAAAATACTCATTCCATTGGCAAATCATCTCATTTACCTACTCAAATTAAGTGTAAATTCACTTAATTTAAGACATTTTTACTTATTTCTAGATCATTTTTCCAGTGTGTCAAATGTATTATACATTTAAACTTC